TACGAGTAAATTTATCTTTTGTACCCTGTAATGTAGGCCTACGTGTAAATTTATCTTTTGTACCCTGTAATGTACGAGTAAATTTATCTATTGTACCCTGTAATGTACGAGTAAATTTATCTTTTTTACCCTGTAAGGTACGAGTAAATTTATCTTTTGTACCCTGTAATGTAGGCCTACGTGTAAATTTATCTTTTGTACCCTGTAATGTACGAGTAAATTTATCTATTGTACCTTTTATACCCTGTAAGGTACGAGTAAATTTATCTTTTGTACCCTGTAATGTAGGCCTACGTGTAAATTTATCTTTTGTACCCTGTAATGTACGAGTAAATTTATCTATTGTACCCTGTAATGTACGAGTAAATTTATCTTTTGTACCCTGTCATGTGCTAGTAAATTTATCTGACGTGTGTAACATGCTTTATGGTGCAGACGGTATTTTTAAATTTTATCAAGTCTCCATATTATACTTATCAAAAAAACATGGTATTTTATGTAAGAAATTAGAATATCACTTATACATTAGACTGTGTTAAGTAAGGAACTTGAAATACGTAATGTTGTTTGCACTTTAGTAATGATATATTTTCAGCCCATCTGTATAAAACCTTCATTGAAAACCTACACTTTGTTCAATAGCAATTAAAACAATTTATAATTTTACTAGCGATTCCGTCCCGCGCGTTGCCGCAGTCTCAGAAGAAAGTCTGAAGGTTAGCCAAAGGATAGCTAATCGCATTCTGCTGGGGCGCGGTCGGACGTGCTTGATGCAAAGTAGTGAAGGACTATACAACATCTTATCCATATTCTATTGCACTCATTAAAACGAACGTATACGACTCAGTGCTCACATGAAAACCAAGGTGCCAAATCGCTCCCTGCCAGGGCGTAGAAGGACGCGCCTGATTTGATAGTCTATGACTATTGTTGCCCATCGTATTTTTAGTGTATAACCTTTTTTTTTTAAACGAACGTAGGCGCTTACTGCTCGCAGGGTTGCGTCTGCTGCAGTTTACCGCCGAATATAGTAATACGCCTTACCCGCTAAGCCGCATTAACTGACGCCAAGTGCTCACATCGCCACTCTGGGTACCAAATCGTGTTTCGACCAAAAACGCACTATCCTGCGCATCGCCTAGAAGAAATTTTTTTTTTTCGCAGAAATATTCTCGGGATTATTCTTATCAACTCCCCAAAGTTTCATGGCACTCGCGTAAACGGTGTCGAACCGCATTCTACTTTTATTTTTTATATAACGTATATATAGAGAAATCGTACCCTTGCGAAATTAAAAAAAAAATACTGGCGATCGGATAAACGGTGTCAAATCGCATTCGACTTTTACTTTTTAAAAAAAAAATACCCATATAGATAAGAATCGAACCGCGCCCTGCCGAGGGGCCACCCCTACAAATTTGAAATTTTCGTCTTCGCAGATACCCACCGAGGAGTTTCTTTAACACCTTTGCAAAGTTTCATTGCGATCGGATGAAAGGTGTAGTAATGCATAAAAGACAAACAAACCAACAAATAAATAGACACACACACATATACATTTATATATATATATATATATATATATATATATATATATATATATATATATATATATATATATATATATATATATATATATATATATATATATATATATATAGCTCGGCCTTGTTCTTATCAAGAATAACACATTTTAAACTTTACACCCAAGGATTCAGTTGTTTATGTTACTTCTAAAGCTACATGATTATATTTATATCTACATAAAAAGAATCAGAAAAAACAATTTATTGAAACTAACGTATAAAATTTAAAATTGTAAACAATTCAATTGAAACCTACCTATTTCTGTAGCAGGAAAAAACCCACACACCTGTGCATTTAAGGCCTGCCGATGTAACATTGAGATGGGCAGATGCCTGGCCCGGTACAAGTTCAACAAAGCATATGCCCGCTATAACTACAAAAAGTGCCGCTTTGAGTAGTAGACTGCAGGTAAACTGCAGGTGAATTGCAGGTGAACTGCAGGTAGAATTCAGGTTGACATAGAGGCGTGTCCCTACATCACCAGACTTCGTTTACATATAGATTAATCTTATTATTTATCTTTAAATGGAAATTTTTTTGACTTTTTTTTGTGGTAGTTGATTAGGATACTTCTAAAAGCAAAAGATATCAAGTACAAATTTCTAAAGATTTATTATTGGAAAATGTAAAATGTATTTACTAGTTTTCATATTATAAACGAATAAACATTTTTAGTAGTTGAAAATACACCTATAATGAATATCATTTAAAGTCTTATTTTATAAAATTAATTTTATTAACATTTTACAATTTTAGAAAATTAAACTAAAGATATAAAAATAAAGATGAATATAAAAAGAAAATATCTTGTTCCAATTTTTTTTTACACTTAGAAAAATAATAATAATAAGGTTTTAATAGCTAGAAACGAATAAATCCCACACTCACTGAGTAACAATAATTTTTGGTGTCATATATAGGTGTGCAAACGACACGAGACTGGGGTAACACCTTCTGTTAGGGTAAAACATGACACCAGCGATAAAGGCGACACACCATGAGGTTGTCAATGGAGTTGACTCAATTTGAGATATCGCAACATCTGACAGATTATAAGCTCATTACATCTGGTGACATTAATTGAGATAAATACAGAAGGTGAAACACTTTAGGTCATTGCATATGGTGACACACCGAAAATTCATTACTTGTGGTGACAAAACATGAGGTCATACCTGAGGTAAGACACCATACGGTCATTACATTAGGTGACATAAATTGAGTTAGTCATAGAAGGTGACACAACATGATGTTATGATAGAAGGTGACACACCGTTAGGTCATTACATGTGGCGACACATCAACAATGTATTACACGTGGTGAAATTAATTGCGATTATCACAGACGTTGACACAGCATGCGTTGTCGATTTGAGGTGACACACCATAGGGCCATTTCAGATGGTGACATAAATTTAGATAATTACAGACGGTGAGACAACATGAACTTTATACAGGAGGTGACACTACATGAGAGTTTTACTGAAGGATACACAACATGAGATTGTAGCAAGAGGGGACGTAATATTAGGTCCTCACGTGAGGTGACACCCCATAAGATGATTACATGTGGCGACATTAATTGAGGTAATCACAGATGGTGACACACTTTAGGTCATTACATGTGGTGACACACCATAAGGTGATTACATGTGGCGACATTAATTGAGGTAATCACAGATGGTGACACACTTTAGGTCATTACATGTGGTGACACACCATAAGGTGATTACATGTGGTGACATTAATTGAGGTAATCAAAGATGGTGACACACTTTAGGTCATTACATGTGGTGACACACCATAAGGTGATTACATGTGGTGACATTAATTGTGGTGAAACAGTATGAGTTAATAACATTAGGTAACACAAAATTGGGTGACTAGTGGAATTAACACAAGGTGAGGTCATCATAGCCCAGCGTTTTACGTGAGATGAAACAACATTAGGTCGCCACTATTGGTGACTCAACGCGAGATCACCACATCAAGAAGTCTCCACTGTAGTAAAAAAACATATTGTGCTATATTTTAAGTTTTACTTAGTCGTCAAATATTTTTTATAAAGCTCGGGGCTCCTTCAAAATATTTCCATCTTTTAAATTACACTGTGAAATTTGTGAAAATGAAATACGCGTCATTATGTTTAGGGCGGTTTAGGGTGTTAGAATATGTTTAAATTAAAAACAAAATATTCGCTTGGGAAGTATACCCTAAACATGGTACCCATTGTTTTTAAAATTTTAAATACATTGAATAACTATTATTTAAAAGAAGAAAAAATATTCTATAAAATGATTTATAATACGATTCATTTTTAAATAGCTTCAACAAGATGTTTAGTATTTTGTTTCCAGGAGCTCATACATATTAAAATTGTGTTATGTACTTTGAACGATTAGATTAGTTTTGTTGAGTTTTTGTTAGGCCAGTAGAGTTTGTGAGAGGCTTGTAGAGGTTTTGTGAGGTTTGTATAGTTTGTGAGAGGTTTGTAGAGTTTGTGAGTGGTTTGTAGAGTTTGTGAGACGTTTAAAGAGTTATTTTTTGAGATTTGTAGAGTTTGTTAAAGGTTTGTAGATTTTGTGAAAGGTTTGTAGTATTTGTGAGAGTTTGGAGAGTTTGTGAAAGGTGTGTAGAGTTTGTGAGAGGTTTGTAGGATTTGTGATAGTTCAGTAGAGTTTGTGAAAGGTTTGTAGATTTTGTGAGAGGTTTGTAGAGTTTGAGAGAGGTCTGTAGAGTTTGTGAGAGATTGTAGAGTGTGTGAGAGGTTTGTAGAGTTTGTGAGAGGTTTGTAGGATTTGTGATAGTTCAGTAGAGTTTCTGAAAGGTTTGTAGAGTGTGTGAGAGGTTTGTAGATTTTGTGAGAGGTTTGTAGAGTTTGTGAGAGATTTGTAGAGTGTGTGAGAGGTTTGTAGAGTTTGTGATAAATCAGTAGTTTGTGAGAGGTTTGTAGAATTTGTGAGAGGTTTGTAGAGTTTGTGAGAGGTTTGTAGAGTTTGTGATAAATCAGTAGTTTGTGAGAGGTTTGTAGAATTTGTGAGAGGTTTGTAGAATTTGTGAGAGGTTTGTAGAGTTTGTGAGAGGATTGTAGAGTTTGTGAGAGGTTTGTAGAGTTTGTGAGAGGTTTGTAGAATTTGTGAGAGGTTTGTAGAGTTTGTGAGAGGTTTGTATAGTTTGTGATAGTTCAGTAGAGATTGTGAGAGGTTTGTAGAATTTGTGAGAGGTTTGTAGAGTTTGTGAGAGGTTTGTAGAATTTGTGAGAGGTTTGTAGAGTTTGTGAGAGGTTTGTATAGTTTGTGATAGTTCAGTAGAGATTGTGAGAGGTTTGTAGAATTTGTGAGAGGTTTGTAGAGTTTGTGAGAGGTTTGTAGAGTTTGTGATAGTTCATTAGAAATTGTGAGAGGTTTGTAGAATTTGTGAGAGGTTTGTAGAGTTTGTGAGAGGTTTGTAGAGTTTGTGATAGTTCAGTAGTAGAGATTGTGAAAGGTTTGTAGAATTTGTGAGAGGTTTGTAGAGTTTGTGAGAGGTTTGTAGAGTTTGTGATAGTTCAGTAGAGATTGTGAGAGGTTTGTAGAATTTGTGAGAGATTTCTAGAGTTTGTGATGCTAATTCAGTAGGGTTTGTGACAAAACAAAAGAGTTTGTGACTGGTTTTATGACATAATGTTTTTATACAAGAGAACGAGCATTTCATTCCTGGAACATTGCATGAGCTAGAATGAAAGAAGTTTACAAAAACGCTGACAAAAGCAAAATGCGCAAGAAAACAAAAGATGTCACCCTATTGATTTTGATCTCCCCATATCAGCTACTTATCGCGCTGTAGTAATGTTCATAAAATGGCGTACGTCTTTTCACGCCACGTTGGATATTGTAATAAAAGAAACACATTTCGATTAAGAATTACGCGCATTGTGCTCGTGATACTAGCGAACTTCCTTAAAGCAAATCAGGTTTGTGAAACGTGTTGCAAAAATCATATAAAATAGTATCTAGTATGCGAAGTTGTACAGACATATAAAAGGCTTATTTAATATTATATTATTCAGATGGTGTTGCGTCAGTTGTATTTGCATTAACGGAAATGCGTGGGACTCAGGTTTCTTTATAAGATGCTCAAGTTGTTTGTTAGTTCATTCGGCCTGGTAGTCGATTCATCTTCCGGGGAAGTAAACTCTTCTGGCTTAGCATGTAAGTAGGCACGCATTGGTTAGATGGTTTTTTGGTTAATGGTAACTGGTAGCGTGGACTCAAATGTACAGCAAACAGTAAAATATGTAGACAACTGTTATAATCATACATTAGGAAAACTATTTTAGTAGGCTTTTTGAAATAAAACTAGAATGTGCTAAATCTATTTTTGCATATGTATTTTACACATGTATATAACAGATCTGATAAATATTGTAATACAAAAAATAGTTCCCTTTAAAAACCTGACGGTCTATAGGGTAAATGAAGTAGAGTTATTATGTTTCTGTGACCTCGGTATATGAAGGGATATTGTGGTCAGCAATATGCACAGCCGCATTTAAAACTGCAAATTTATATGTATATATAATGTATATATATATATATATATATATATATATATATATATATATATATATATATATATATATATATATCTTCTATATATATAAAAAGCAATGTATGTTTCTGTGTGTGTCCTTTATGCATTACTACACCTCTCAGCACATCGCCGTGAAACTTTGGGAAGTTGTTGAGAATATTCCTGGGGAGGTTTCTGCGAAAAAAAATATTTAAAATTCGCAGGGGTGGCGCCTTCACAGGGCGCGATTTGTTTTTTTATATATACGGTATATAAAAATAAAAGTCGATTTTGGTTTGGCATCGTTCTTCCTATAGCCATGAGATTTTGGGGAGTTCATTATACCACTCTAGGAAAAGGTTCTGTAAAAAAATAATTTTTAATTTCGCAAGGGCGGCGCCACGGGAGGGTCCGATTTTTCTCTATATACAGTATATAAAAATAATAAAGGTGAATTGCAGTGACACCGTTCATCCTATAGGCATGAAACTTTGAGGGTGTTGATTAGGACACTCTGAGGTAGGGTTCTGTAAAAAAAATCATTTTTAATTTCGCAAGGGCGGCGCCACGGGAGGGTGCGATTTTTCTCTATATACGGTTTATAAAATTTCGTTTTCACACCGTTCATCCGTGTACCATGAAACTTTGGGGAGATGATTAGATCACTCAATGGTAGGGTTCTGTAAAAAAAAATTGTTTAATATTGCAAGGGCGGCGCACCACCGGGGGGGGGCGATTTTTTTTCTCTAAACACGGTATATAAAAAATAAAACTCGGATGCGGTTCATCCGAGTACCATGAAACTTTAGGAAGTAGATGAGAATACTCCCGAGAATATTTCTGCGAAAAAGAAAACTATAATTTCTTACGGGCGGTGCCATATAGGGTACAACTTTCGTCAATACACGGTTTGGCGCCCAGAGTTTTAGAGCGACTAAGTTGGCACTTGGCATCCGTTAATCGAGCGCCCTGTATAGTGAGTAGGAAGTACTACTATATTCAGCGGTAAAACTACAACAGGCTTCTAAAAATAACTTTGTAACGCGAGGAAATCCTGTACAGTTTCGTCACCTTGCGAAAGATGAAAAAATAACTGTTTGAATATGAGGAACCTACTGTACAGTTTCGTCACTTTGCGAATGATGCAATAAGCATCAATTATTAGACGATCCAGGCCGAAATTGTGACCGAGCATCTAATAATAGACCATTAGTAACGCTAGCATATTGCATCAGTCGAACTGATGTTTAAAACACGTCAAATAATTTTTGTATGTGTTAAAGAAAAAAATCCTGTTCATTTGTGTCACTTTAGCGAATGACGAAATCTGCATCATTGTTTACAGGATGCTATTTCGCACGCTGGGTTATCCTATGAGCACGATGGCGCCTGTTAGTTTTGAGGAGCCAGGGGCCTTACGCTGCGCCTCTGCGGTAGTGTAATCGGGGGGTGGGGGGGGGGCTCCTGAGAGCGCCCCTCTACGTCCATGACATATGGGTGGTCACCGAAGTGTGTTCTACCTAATTATTTCGGTGAGTGATTAATATACACTCAAGATTTTCATGCGGTAGTGTAGGAAAACCCGTGTCCCGATAATTATTATCCAAGCGCAGGCATTGTTGACATTTAAATAACACAGTTTTAGAAAACAAGGTGATGCGTCTAAGAACATATGATTGGTAATGCATTGGTGATATCCTTCTAATATATTTCGTCAGACTTTATTCTATCCCCGCGGCAACGCGCGGGGGACGGGTACGCTAGTATATATATATAAATATATCGATATCAGTTCCTTCTAATAAGTTGTAACTAAAAAAAATATAATTATTTAAACGTTTTTAATTGAAATATTTATTGTGATAAACTATTAAATATAAAGTAATCATTGCTGGATTATGCAACATTACTACCTGAAAAAAGTTTTATTTTTAATCGTTTTAGCTATTAAATTGGATAGCTGAGAATTTTCGAAACATTCTAAAAATACGTATAAATAACAACTCAGATTATTAATAAAGATAATATTAGACAAAAAACATTATCAATTGTAACAAAAACAGTAAAATAATGTATACAACCAGTCCTATGGTATAATCAGGGCATGGTAAATTTTAATTATGTCTTCAAACAACCGTTACTTTAAATTTTCTGTACGTAATTTGATATTTGTGCATTTTATTTTTCAGAATGACCATGATAAAAATCTCTTCCTTTTTACTTCTGCTAACCGTCTTTGGTAAATATTGCTATGCATCCTTTTAATATTAGTATTGAAATTGTTTAGATACTATGGAATAGTGAGTTTGAGAGTTTTGTCCTGTACTGTAATTTGATAGCCTTTTAAGTCAAAAATTCGCGCGAAAGATTTACATAAACAATGGGTTTTTTGGGAGGGGGGGGGGGTGATGTTAAAAAATTAAATGAAGATAGTTATCTGATGTGTTGTAATTAATTGACGAGTAAGTATTGTTATCGTGCTGAACAGTCAACACAAACTCTGGTCGTTTAGCCCTTTTTAAACCTCCCAAATATAAAGGATATATTGTAATCGTTAAAAAAATGTAAATCGTGAATTTTACAAATTTTTACTTTTTATAACATTCCTGAGTCGTCTGTCTTTGTGGAACGGTAACTTGATTACCAGTTCAGTTTTGTCAGCTCCATTTTATATAACTATTATATCGAATTTGCAGTTAATTTTTCATTTTTGTGCGATTTTCGACAAACAGAACTGGTACTTACTTTAATACTGGTTTCCCGAAAGCCAATAACTAGGGTATCGTTTACGTAAGGTGGACGAAATTTCACATATGGGTATTTCGTTGTATTCGCAAGTTTCTGATGTTTTTTAAAAAGATTTTCAATTACTAAAAAATTTACTTTATGTATAAGGCAATACAAATGTTCCTCTAACCACTAACATGTCCCTTCTTGTATGTATCCTTATAATGATGATCAAAGATTACACAAGAATGTACACAGCGAAACGCTAGCACAGCAATATATTTGACACGTTCTAAATTGCTATTTCATTTCAGCTTTTAAAGATGTCCGATCTGAAGTCACTGACGCCCCTCAAGATAAAAGGCAGATAAGAACTGAATTTACTCGGCCAGGAAGAGAAGTCACTGATGCCCCTCAAGATAAAAGGCAGATAAGAACTGAATTTACTCGGCCAGGAAGAGAAGTCACTGATGCCCCTCAAGATAAAAGGCAGATAAGAACTGAATTTACTCGGCCTGGAAGAGAAGTTACTGATGCCCCTCAAGATAAAAGGCAGATAAGAACTGAATTTACTCGGCCAGGAAGAGAAGTCACTGATGCCCCTCGAGATAAAAGGCAGATAAGAACTGAATTTACTCGGCCAGGAAGAGAAGTCACTGATGCCCCTCAAGATAAAAGGCAAATAAGAACTGAATTTACTCGGCCAGGAAGAGAAGTCACTGATGCCCCTCAAGATAAAAGGCAGATAAGAACTGAATTTACTAGACCAGGCAGAGAAGTCACTGATGCCCCTCAAGATAAAAGGCAGATAAGAACTGAATTTACTAGACCAGGAAGAGAAGTCACTGATGCCCCTCAAGATAAAAGGCAGATAAGAACTGAATTTACTCGTCCAGGCAGAGAAGTCACTGATGCCCCTCAAGATAAAAGGCAGATAAGAACTGAATTTACTAGACCAGGAAGAGAAGTCACTGATGCCCCTCAAGATAAAAGGCAGATAAGAACTGAATTTACTCGGCCAGGTAGAGAAGTCACTAATGCCCCACAAGATAAAAGGCAGATAAGAACTGAATTTACTCGGCCAGGAAGAGAAGTCACTAATGCCCCTGAAGATAAAAGGCAGATAAGAACTGAATTTACTCGGCCAGGAAGAGAAGTCACTGATGCCCCTCAAGATAAAAGGCAGATAAGAACTGAATTTACTCGGCCAGGAAGAGAAGTCACTGATGCCCCTCAAGATAAAAGGCAGATAAGAACAGAATTTACTCGGCCAGGAAGAGAAGTCACTGATGCCCCTCAAGATAAAAGGCAGATAAGAACTGAATTTACTCGTCCAGGCAGAGAAGTCACTGATGCCCCTCAAGATAAAAGGCAGATAAGAACTGAATTTACTAGACCAGGAAGAGAAGTCACTAATGCCCCTGAAGATAAAAGGCAGATAAGAACTGAATTTACTCGGCCAGGAAGAGAAGTCACTGATGCCCCTCAAGATAAAAGGCAGATAAGAACTGAATTTACTCGGCCAGGAAGAGAAGTCACTGATGCCCCTCAAGATAAAAGGCAGATAAGAACTGAATTTACTCGGCCAGGAAGAGAAGTCACTGATGCCCCTCAAGATAAAAGGCAGATAAGAACTGAATTTACTAGACCAGGCAGAGAAGTCACTGATGCCCCTCAAGATAAAAGGCAGATAAGAACAGAATTTACTCGGCCAGGAAGAGAAGTCACTGATGCCCCTCAAGATAAAAGGCAGATAAGAACTGAATTTACTAGGCCAGGAAGAGAAGTCACTTATGCCCCTCAAGATAAAAGGCAGATAAGAACTGAATTTACTAGACCTGGCAGAGAAGTCACTGAAGCCCCTCAAGATAAAAGGCAGATAAGAACCGAATTTACTCGGCCAGGAAGAGAAGTCACTGATGCCCCTCAAGATAAAAGGCAGATAAGAACTGAATTTACTCGGCCAGGCAGAGAAGTCACTGAAGCACCCTAAAAACGAGTTTACTATCCCACACAGGGAGGTAACTAGACCCCCTTTTTGTATGACGGCTATATGTAAAACACAAAGCCACAATGCCATAAAGTACTGACTATTTCATGCGAAATTGTTATAATATATTTAATATGAATAAACTCTGTTCTTTTCTGTTTCAAAATTAATTTATCTGTATTGAGTCATTTTAAACTTAATTCATACAATTTAGTCCTGAAATGGTTTAACAATGTGATTCCTTTAAGACAACCGTATTCTGACTCATAGGGCGTAAGCAGTGACAGATTAATGGGAAGCTTAGAGTCCAGCCTCTCGTTGTTCAGAGCACCAAAATTTGCTCTTATGAGCAATATTAATTTAATTGTCTTACAAACTGATGTTTCTGTTAGGAAAGTGTTGCTTATTAATTTAACGAAGGCCGTTGAAATATGTGATATTCACCATGAAAAAACTTCATCCTCCAAACCTCTATCCTCTAGTAACATAACCTGTTATCGACTTTTGCTGTTTATATAAAGCAACGTATTGAATCTTATACAGACGGACAAGAAAACATTTTTGATATACCACGTCAAACTAACTTCAACATTCGTCAATTGTTTAAATTTAAACTTGTTTTAAAATTAATCACATTTTTTAGCTGATGTAACTGGTCTTTAACTGTCGCGCCATCAACACTATGCCATTATTGTCTGTTGTTTATGAATATCTACACCATTCATGCCGATCACCATCACTGTGAATTGTAAGTTAAAAACTATATTACAATACATTTTAAAATGTTCAAGGCGACTAAAATCAGCCTTAATACTTTGACGAGAGATATTTTGTCTGAGATCAATTTCCTTAGATAATCTCTCCTATCATCAATAAAACAGACTCTAACTCAACTGTACACTAGCTACTGTTAGATCTGTTCAGCAAGGGTAAATTTACTTACTTTCGTAAAAATAAATTTTGATTAATATAAATTAAATAGTCATTAGATATGTATTTCTAATTAATAATAACAATACTTAATAAAGATATTAAGGCAGAAAGCTAGATTTTAGGGATTAGTAAAGTAAGGTAAAGTGCAATAGTTTTGACAACTCATATAACGAAGGGGCAACGATATTAGAAGTGAAGGCTTTAAGAATGCCACTCTCCGTGTGGGGGCTGGGGCTGACTTCCCTTGAGAGTCTCCGGGTAGTTTATCATTGTGGTATAACGCCAATTTGGACATAATAGATTTTAAAAGCAAATTATCACGATGAAGAAGACTATGTGGCGTAATTCGTTGCTTTATATTGTCTGTGTTAATTTTGTTTTGTTTTCCCATTTTTAGAAGTTTTATTTAAACGTCAATTTGGTTTTATGAAGCGCAGGGCCGCTTTATAAGTTCCTTACCCTGAAATCGTAATCCCTGACTCCGTTGATAATGAAATTCTTTTCTATATATTAAGTGCCGGGTGTGGAAAGATCAGTTGTTTTTTTTTAAAACTAATATGTTGTTTGCTACTACTACCAATTGATTGCATAAAAGCTACTTACATTTACTCTGTATTAAACCATCTTAGTTTAAAAAAAACAACTGAAGTTGAAAAACTTTTGTGTTTAAATATAATTTACAATCATTAAGAACTTTTTTTGTAAGTCTGGAGTAAACACAAGGTGGAGTAGAGTTTTTATTAGTTCGTTTTTTTATTTTATTTTTTTTATTTTAGTGATGTTTTTTTTTTAAATTTGGGACTGTATGTATATTACCTACTTGTTCGTTTTTTTTTAAAAATAGTGTTAGACGAAATAATGAATAATTAAAAATGAAGAAATAAGCCGAAAATGCACAGCTTTGAATAGTTTATTTCATCTTCTAAATATTCTTGCAATTGTAGTGTCATCCCGATACTACTGTACAACGGGAACTATAGCGTTACGAGTGACCAAAGCATCCTTCTTAGCTGGAAACTTGACAATAAATCTGAGCCCCGCATCTTTAGCACTGCCGTCAGGATAAGCTGAAACTAAAGTACATTCACATGAAAGTGAGCACTTAAATATATGTAACTATGCGATATGTATTGATGATAACGTGATTAATCATACAGTGTAAGCTGTAGAGAGAGGTATAGCTGCAGCCTTATTCTGCCCTGGAGTCACAAGGAATAAGTCAACCTAGTTGATAGTAATAAGTAAAATAGTGTAGTTCAACAGTTAGGAGAAACAGGACCTATTTCTACGGGGAATATTTAATTGTAACATGAAATGTGAGAATAGATCGTATATTCAGCTAGTGCTTTAAGTGTTAGAATAGAATCAAAGAAATCGCTTAATTTAACATGTAGGTGGGACTGAGACAATCTCCCCATGAAGTAGAGTACAGTGAACTGTGATAGAACGATATGTGAGCTACTCCTCCGTGAGATGATTCACGGAAAAGGATATAATCTATCTATCTATCTATCTATATATATATATATATATATATATATATATATATATATATATATATATATATATATATATATATATATATATATATTTATATATATATATATATATATATATATATAATTCTCTTCTGTGAGACGCTAGAAAACAAGCTGTAAGCGCGCTCCCTACCACCCCCACCCCTACATGGTCTGGTGAGCTGTGGTTCATGCTAAATGTTTACAAGCAGAGCCGGGTTTAGAGACGACTATTCGGGGCAGATAATTTAGTTTGAAACGATTTTAAACGTAGGGGGGGGGATAGCTAAGTGGAGTTTACTTTAACGGATGGGGGGGGAGGAGGGGGGGGTTATCGTCCTTAACGAGCTACTTATAGTTTTTTAAACAAATATTTTTTAGTGGCAGCGTTGGTACTGTCGAATTCACAAATTATGAATTACTGAAAAGTAGAAAAAAAAACTAAATAGCGGCGTATGATATGCCGCGGGTCGGCTCTTCTAGTAATAATAGTATAGTCTACTGCCACTACAGGACAAATGTTATAGCTGAGTAAAATCAAACTGCAAAGGGAAACTCAGAGCAGGAATATTTATATAAGTAATAACAAAATCGCAAAGCTAGCACAGCTACAGTAAACTTAATAACCAGGTCTATGATCTCTTGTCTCTGGCAAGGTCTACGGCCGGCAAAAAAAAAATTAACAAACATGCCTGATAACCACTTGAGTTTACGGCCTGTAGTAAAATTATAAGTTACTAATACATAAAGGTGTAAGAATAAGTAACGAATTCATTAACTTAAAATTTCTTTCAATTTAAGAATATACATATTTTAATGTTTTTAATGTATATATATATATATATATATATATATATATATATATATATATATATATATATATATATATATATAAGATTACACTTACCTGCAGCAGACAACACATACAGAAAGAAGAAAATACAGAACAGCTTCATGATGACTACTGTAAATATAACACAAATTTGAAATGTCAATAAAATTAATTTGAATTGGTCATTTTTTTTTAAATACCAAATGATTTCAATATTCATTCTTACAAATGGAAAAGAAAGCCTACATGAGTTAATATTTTTTTACAAATAACATTACGTTTGATGTTTAAGTTTTGTCGCTGACATTGTAATATTTTATTTCCAGTTAAGGACATTTGTTTGAAGAAATGTGCCAACATAAATTAAATTATAGTTTACTGTTTTTTAGAAGAATAAAAAATATTGCTTGTATTTATGTTTCCATAATACGAATTGGTTTTGTGTTTACGTAAATAATACAATGAAAAAAAAACATAACATAAACATAATTAAAAATATGAGGATCTTTCAAAAGCAGACATTTTCTAATTACGTAGATCAAAACTTCTTATTTCTAATACAAACTATATTCACGTCAGTGAATTTATTTTAAATTTAAATTTTGTTTTTCTAGTTGTAAGTCGTGTCTAAGAGCTAATTAACCTTCACATTTTACATATAAACTGCTCATACACGGTCAACAACAGCTAAAAAAAGACCTACCTTTAAGGTTTCTTCAGTTAGTCTGTAGGAAAATTACAAGATCAAACGTTTCTGTTGGTTGTACAACACAATCGTGGGCCTTATAAAGGAAATAGCGGAATAACATTTACATACGTATACATGTTAATTATCAGCCGTGCACTAATCATATTGTATTACATAAAGATTCTTGGATTATTTATTGTTTAAATTTGATATCGTTTGTATTTCTGAGTATTTATGTAAGTTTATAAACGTAACTCTACATTAACGGTTCACTGATACTGTTGATAATTTCAGTGCAATTCGGTGTTACTGTAATCATTGTAAACACGCTATAACAGAACTGATTAAGTGTATACATTAATCGAGTAACCATGCAGAGCAGAGAGGGTGACTGTTTTAATAGCTGACATATTTTATTTGACGTTTATTTGTGTAATATGTATTATCCTTGTGATATTTAGTAAAAAAAGGATATGCTCTCTCTCTAACGATTGTTAGTACTGTATGTATTTGGTATAATATAGGCTACTTGCTTTAAAAGAACAAAACCGGTTTTTAAAAAGGTTGCCTTTAAAACCATACAGTCCATGTTAGTTTGTTGCAGTGACCTCAAACTATTGAGTGATAGAGTGATCAGCACTTTGCCCACCTTCTTTTGTATCCTGTAACGTAAATCTATTTTATTTTACTAACAAACATTGGTACTAAATGTTGAATGTAATAACATATTAATTATGTATCGAATGTATATCGAATGTATACTAATAAAACAATTCTTTATAACTTTTCGCAAATTTAATGTTTTCATTCACAAAGTTTCCCTTTCAAACCTGACGGTCTATGGGGCGAGTGAAGTAGAGTTCACTTGTTTCTGTGACCTCGGCATATGAAGAGATAGTGTGTCAGCCGCCTTTACTTTAAGGTGGACTCAGGAACGGACTACTGAATCCGGTTTCGAACTCGAGACATACGGGTTAGCAGACCACTCCATCCCCATATATATATATATATATATATATATATATATATATATATATATATATATATATATATGTATGTATATATATATGTATATAATTATGTATATAAGAAAAGAAAAAAAAATATGTATTATCAAATTCACCATTACAAACAATAGGCCAAAGTTAATTGTTTAATGTTGTTGGATATTAAGCCTGGTAGGTATTTATGTTTGTAAAGAAACTAAACAGTATTCCCAAACGAAGTTTTATTTTTCAGAAATAAAGAAAGTGAAACAAATCAATAAAGAACAGTTTTCTAAAGAATTAGTATAAAAGTAATTTTAAAAAAAATAGGATTATAGTGCTGCATAGAAAAATTTATAAATACATGACAAAAACAATGAGAGGAATATTTTTTATCAGAGAAGAGAAAAATATATGTATGTATTAATAAAAATATAGTGTATGTTGTTAAACAGACTGAAGGATTATATACAATCTAATAACGTGATCGATAACAGCTGCAGCTGTTTGTAGCTTCTGGTTGCAGTGTCAAAATTTAATATCGGTATCTTTTTTTAAGGTAATTTATCATAATCCATGATCGTCTTAAAAAAATATGGAAATTCGTTCTTTGTTCTTCATTGTGCATTTGTAAAGGATTTCTCGCAACATAGTTACATGTTACTTGTTAACATTTGGTATGTTGGTTCCGTCCGCAACCTGTTTTTCTTTTTTGAAGTGATTCCACAGACTTCGTCAATTAAAGAAAATAATCTTTAATCGACAATCTTTTTTTTAAAATTAATTTTGTTTGACCTTTTCTAGCAAGTATAATATAATAGCCTGTTAGTTTGAAATTAAAAATATTATGGTTTAAATTTGTAATATTGTAGATTGAACTACAATTCAGTCAAGATATGAGGTAAAATAATGTCGTTATCCTTAAACATTTAGATCATGAAACTAATATAGTTGACATATTGCAACTTTTCTTCAAGAGATGCATGTGTCTGTTAACACTATTGAAACCTCACATTTAAGTCCTAATTTAAAACGTAGCCAACACAACATATAATAGGTTATACAATACGTTATTGACTATAAGTATAGGTGGTGAGATTTTAAAATATTCGGTCGCGTTTGACGGAGGTGCGAATCTAATTTTTTTTAAAAATAAATCTGTTGTTCATGCTTTATTCATTTATCACCATCATTATTTACTAATTTCATATATCGTTGCTGATGTATAAATGTAGACCAAAGCAATGGCAGGTTTAATATAAAAATAAATATTACTGTATAATTAATTGTGTTTCGTGTAATTGTCGTATTCGTTTAAATAAATATAAATTATAATCAAACATGTTCCTAATAATTAAATTTACTACATTTTCCAAGGGATAACTAGGTATAAAGTGACTTGGGATCAAAGTGTACGTGTTTAATATTTGCGATAAAAAATGTATACAATGTACTATCTAGGATTTAATTTAACAAATAATGCGACATCTAACAAGTTTCTCAAATATGTAATGTAGATGTACTTGAAAATACATAGCATATATAAAGGATACAAAAAGCAAAGTATAGTCAAATAAATAATGCTTGTATGGTCACCCTGCCGCAAATTAAAATATAATTACACAACATTTGAAATTAATCCTTACCATATATGGACAAAGCGCTTGTTATCAAACGCTAGAATTAGATAAACCACCTGTGATCAAAGACCCTCTGCTGAGAAAACAACTGTGGTCAAACCCCCTATGGTCAAAGCCACTATGGTAAAAGCCCCGTTATGGTCAAAGACCCGCTGTGGACAAAGCCACGTTGTGGACAAAGCCCCTATGGTCAAATCCCCTCTGGGGTCAAACCACCTATGGTTAAACCCCCTATGGTCAAAGCACCAGTGGTCAAAGGTCCGCGCATCGTTTAACCATATTGACAAGTGAAGGTGATCGCACCAAGGGAATTAATACATTTCATAGCGGTGTTAGTTTCTAATCGTTTTAAATATTAACAAGAACTACTGAAAACTTAGCATAATTTGTCATTTGAAACAAACTAGATTAGGTAAAAAGCTCATCTGTCTTATTGATAAAGTAGCCTTAAGGCTTTTATCCAGGTATATATATATAACTACTCATTGACGTGTACGATTTCAAATCGCTGTTAAAATTATTTTAATATGAGCTTTAAGTTGTTTATCCCATATCACATAACAAACGAGTGTCTCATGAAAATATATAATATATAATATTTATAATCTCTAGGATCATAGAGTTCGCCGCTGATATCCTTTTTAAAAGAGTTATGAAGTTTAACATATTCGTCACAGAAAATAAAATAATATATAAATAATTAGTCATTAAGTAGCCTGCATAGCTATCCATTACACAGCTACTTAATGTGCATGGAGTTATGGTACTACGTTTAACAAGCGATGTCCCAGAGTGACCAATAGCTTCCCCGGGACACACTAGGATTTAGATGGGCTAATATAATTGTTCACACATTAGAATAATGAGCGCCCGCCGGCGCCCTGGCAGTTGGCGACAGCGAGCGCCCCGGACGCGTCTCTCACACGTTGGCGGTCGCTGATGTGTGTTCTACCTGACTATTACAGAGGTTGATTAACGCATACTCAAGGCTTTCATACATTACGCTTTGGTGCGTCTATGCGGCAGTGTGGACCAACCCGCGCCCCAACAACCTTTATGTGGTTTTTCTGGGTTTTTTATGCATTACCAAACATTTCATTCGTTTGTCATTGCTAATACTCCTGTGGAGGTTTCTGCGAATTTTTTTTCCGATTTGGTGGCGCCCCGGCAGGGTTCGATTTAGCTCCCCAGGCTTTCCAGTGAGTACTATGGTACCTTTGTTCGTTTAATAATTGCGGAAAGCTAGGAATACAATGGGCTAAATAATCGCTCACTATACCGAGTGAGGCGCCTTATTACCTAGGCCCACCAACCTACATATCTAACTCCCTGCCTACTTACCTACCTATCTACTAACCTGCCTGCACTGCTGCCTACTTTTCTACCTGCCGTTATTCCTGCCAAACTGCTTTCCTTCCACCCCGCCTGTCCGCCAAACCTCACATCCTACTTACACACACACACACATATGTTCGTATGTATATATGTATGTGCTAACGTGCTCTAGGACTATGTATTTTTACATTTCTGTTTGTTACAATATATATATATATATATATATATATATATATATATATATATATATATATATATATATATATATATATATATATATATACATATATATATATATATAATAACATTTTAAACATGGCACTCAATGTTTCAGTTGTTGATGTTACTTCTAAAACTGCATGCTTGTACTTGTATCTGCATAAAAAGAATCAGAAAAGTTTTGAAGGTTAAGAAAGTGTTTAAAAGTTTCAACAATTCAATTGAAACTAACCTATAAAGTTTAAAATTTTCAACAATTTAATTGAAACTAACCTATAAAATTTAAAATTTTAAACAATTCAATTAAAACTAACCTATACAGTTTAAAATTTTCAACAATTTAATTGAAACTAACCTATTTCTGCAGCAGGAAAAAACCAAACTCGTGTGAATTTAAGGCCTGCCGATGTAACGTTGAGATGGGCAGATGCATGGGCCGGTTTAAGTTCAACAAAGTATATGCCCACTATTGCCACAGAAAGTGCCGCTTTGAGAAGTAGACTGCAGGTAAATTGCAGGTGAACTGCAGGTAGAATTCAGGTTGGCATAGAGGCGTGCCCCTACTACACCAAATATCGTTTACATCAAGATTAAACTTATTATTTATCTTCAATGGAAGACATTTTTTTTACTTTTTATGCTGGTAGTAGATTAGGATACTTCTAAAAGCAAAAGATATCAATTTTTTTTTAAATGTGATTTATTATTGGAAAATGCAAAATTTAATTACTTGTATTTATATTATAAACGAATAAACATTTTTAGTAGTTGAAAATACACGTATAATGAATATAATTTAAGGTCTTATTTTATATAATTAATTTAATAAACACCTATTTTACAAATTTAGAAAATTAAACTAAAGATACAAAAATAAAGATGAATATAAAAAGAAAATATCATGTACCAATTTTGTTTTACACTTAGACTAATAATAAAAATAATAAGACTTTAATAGCTAGAAACGAATTAAACACCCATACTCACTGAGTGAC